AGTTATAAGTCTTCTCTATTTAATAAAAAAGTGCAATATTATAGTATGCTTAGATTTAAATCAATTAAACACACAATTTTCACACAAAAATTAAATAAGATAGGTTTATCATATAATGACACAAAGAGACATATTTTAGATAATAATATTGAAACATTAGCTTGGGGTCATTATAAACTGCGTTAAGTGTTGATAGTTTTTACTTTTATGTCTGCGTTTAAGAAAAATTTATATTGATTGTAAAATTATGATAATACTATAATATGACGTAGTTTATTACATATTTAAACATTGTTTTATTGTAAATAATTTAAGTTAATTGTTGTTTCTATTTATTTGAGGTTGAGTTAATTGTAAAATTATGATGTACTAATTGTTGTTTCTATTTATTTGAGGTTGAGTTAATTGTAAAATTATGATGTACTAATTGTGTTAGAAATAGTATACAGATAATTCTGTTTTATATAATTTTTGGAATATATATTAATTGTTTACACCAACACTTTCATTTTTTATTTCACCCCTTTGAACTTTAGACGTGTGTTATGTTTCACTTTATCCATCCGTTCACTGCTATTGTGGCAGGACCAAGTGGGTGTGGGAAGTCAAATTTTGTAACAAATTTCATAAAATCAGTTACAGAAATATGTAATTGTGATTTTAATCAGATCACATGGTGCTTTGATGAAATGCAACCATTATATAATTTACCAAATGTTAACTATCATCAAGGAATTCCAAATCTTAATATGTTTGATGGTGAAAACCCACATCTTGTTATAATTGATGATCTAATGAAAGAGTCCGATGGAAGAATTGTGGATATATTTACAAAAGGTAGTCATCACAGGAATCTTAGTGTATTTTATCTAACACAAAATTTATTTCATCAGGGTAAAGGACAAAGAGACATATCTTTAAACTCAAGTTATATAATATATTTTAAAAACCCTCGAGATAAAACTCAAATAAGATATTTAGCAAGACAAGTATCACCAGATAACCCAAAATTCATTGAAAATGCCTACAGGGATGCAACTCTAGAGGCACATGGATATTTAATGGTAGATTTAAAACAGAATACCAATGATTTTTGTCGTATCAAGACAAATGTCTTTCCATTTAATGGTTTCTGTACAGTCTACGTCCCCACAAAAGAGTTTAAATACACCAAGAATCAAACAATTGAAATCATTGCTAAATGATGCATCGTCGACTCACAACGTATAAACATTTGCTAACCGCTTTGCATACGCTTAAACCAAAATATCAAAGAGCATTACTTAAAACGTGTGATGAAGAAGAAATTAACTGTATTTGTGAGTGTATTCATAACGTTTTACAAGGAAAAGTACCTCTTAAAGATCAGGATAAACAAAAATTGAATAAACATAAAAACATACTCCGTAAACTAGTACGTAAGTGTAAACATAAACTAAGAAAAAATATAATTATACAAAAAGGAGGGGCTTTCTTACCAACAATATTAGGTGCAATATTGAGTGGATTAGTGAGTGGACTAGCCAGTTAACATGGAAAATGCAAAGAAAATGATACTTATCGAACCTGGATTGATTGAAAAATTAAAACAAAAAAATAAGGTTAATAGTAATTTATCTCGATTAGATATTGAAATGCAAAATATTATGAATAGTAAGACGGAAGACCGAAAGAAATGGATATTATATTTACAAACACTGCAAAGATACCTTCATTTTACCGAAGAGGATCGTCAACCACTCAAATTACCAATTTATTCTGATACATCTAATGAAGATTCAAATGAGTCAAAAATTGGTTTTAAAAATAAAGATAGAGATCTAAAAACTTCAGTTGATATTGAATCTTTGCTGGAGGAGAATCGATCCATTAAAAGTAAAGAAAATGATGAAAATCCACTTTACACACCAGCTCAAATACTCAGTTTAATACCAAAAACTTATCATAAAAAAGGGCAGTTATTATTAAACTTAGTTGAAACAAGTAAAAGTAAAATACATTGGGATAACGAAGGTACAGTCATAATTGATAGTGAAAAAATTCCTGGAAGTAATATTGTTGATTTAATAAATGATTCACTAAGACCCCTAAAAAGAAGTGATCCGGTAGGGTGGGTTAGATTTGCTGAAGCATTAAAAGATATTAAAGTACCACTTACTTATATTGGAAATCCAAGGAGATGTGAGTTTATTAACCAACTTCAAGCAAAAGATCTGAACAAACCCTCTGAGATTGAAGTTCAAGAGTTTTCTACACCGTGCAGTAGAGATAAAAAGTCTACAACTAAAATACGTAAAGGACTTGAGTGGGAAAAATGGACTCCGTACTAGAAGAAATTAACAGGATTTATTATGATCCATCTAATCCCGCTGGTTTTGGTAGTATTGATAAATTATCAAAAGCCATGAAGGGTAAAATGAATAAAAAGCAAGTAAAGGAATGGTTAAAATCACAAGAAACATACACATTACATAAACCCATTCGAAAAAAATTCCCGCGTAATAGGTACATTCTATCAAATATTAATGAACTGTGGCAAGCTGATTTAAGTGATATGCGAACTTATTCTCAATATAATGATGGTTTCAAGTATATACTTTGTATTATTGATGTATTTAGTAAATATGCTTTTGCAAGACCAATGAAAAAGAAAAACTCAGAAACAACTAAAGAATGTTTTGAAAGTATATTTACTGAAAGTAATTTAACACCTACTCACATACAATCCGATAAAGGTACCGAATTTGTTTCAAAAGATGTACAAAAATACTTTAAATCCAAAAAGATTAATTACTATACCACTAACAATCCTGACATTAAGGCCAGTATTGTTGAACGATTTCAAAGAACACTAAAAATGAAAATGTGGCGTTATTTCACTCATAATAATACTTATAGATATATAGATGTTTTACAAGATTTAATATACTCTTATAATCACAGCTTTCACTCTAGTATTAAGATGTGCCCATGTGATGTAAATTCCAACAATATTATGACAGTTTGGACTAATCTTTATGACAGACGGTCAAAAAAACTTTCTTTAGAAAATCCTAAACCAAATTTCAATGTGGGTGATTATGTTCGAATAACTAAATATAAACATGTATTCCAAAAAGGATATGAATCAAATTGGAGTGATGAAATATTTATTATATCTTCAATAATTGATAGATCTCCATGGGTTGTTTATACAATAACAGATTTACAAAATGAACCAATAATTGGTACTTTTTATGAAAGAGAATTACAGAAAATCACTTACAACCCCACCTCACAACATAAAATAGATAAAATAATTGACACTCGTTATTCGGGTAACAGAAAAGAAGTATTAGTGAAGTGGAAAGGTTATCCAGATAAATTTAACAGTTGGATTTTAGCTTCTAGTTTAAAAGAAATATGAATAAAGAAAGTTTCTATTTAACTTTGCTCAGCAATAGTTCAATGGAATACTTTCCTGATAACAAGACCACAAATTTTTCAACGAAATTACCAAAAGCTATAAAATTAGAAGGTGAATGGTCGGTTGGAGTTGTCGAGTTTCAATATCCATGTACCATGTTTACTGTTCAAGACCATGAAAATGTTATATACATTACAAAATCTATGTTAATGCCTAATGAAGATAAGCCATCCACAGAACTTGAAATTTCGCTATGATGAAATAACAAAATTTGTGTCTATTTCGGTATTGGATAAAAATATAACATCCGTAACATTATCACCCAAATTAAGTTTACAGCTAGGTTATGAACCAAATAAAAATCTCCTAGAGAGAAATTTTGGAAAGTGTCCTGCTAATTTACACTTAGGGTTACCATCTCAACTATTTCTATATTGCGATATTATCGATCCTCAGATTGTGGGTGATGTTATGACTCCTTTATTAAGAGTCATTTCATTAGATCCTACAAAATACATTTATGGTGCAAATAAAATGCACGTTTTCTCTCAACCTCACTACTTACCTGTTATGCGAAGAGAGTTCGATACGTTGGAAATAGTTATAAGATCGAGTACAGGACAAAAAATACCATTCCAGTTTGGAACCGTGTGTATTAAACTACATTTCCGAAAATTATAATAATGAATTCTCTTCGTGATCATCATAAATGTCCATATGAAAATTATTATACACATCAAGCTGGATCAGGAGTTGGAGTAATTTATAAGGGTTCACCATATCAACGCGGTCATGGTATTGGGAGCTTCTTAGGGGGGTTATTCAGATCAGTTTTACCTTTACTTTCAAGTGGTGCTCGAGTGATTGGTAAGGAGGCATTAAGCGCTGGAGTAGGACTTTTATCGGATATGGTTCAAGCCCGTCCTATGGAAGCCTCAATAAAAGATCGTCTAAAGCAAGTTAGTACGAATTTAAAACGAAAGGCTGATGCGAAAATTGATCAATTTAACATGACTGGATCTGGGTATAAAACTAAAAGAAAACGATTGACATCGTTCATTCCACCATTAACTGCTAAAGTGAAAGCTGCGAAAAAACTTAGTCTAAAACCAAAAAATATCAAAGATATATTTTCAAACTAAATATGTCTTTCCTTCATAATCATTCTTGCGAGTGCGTTAAGTCAGAATTGGATTTGTTTGCACTACCGTCTACACAAACTAGCATTGAAAATGGATTGTGGATTCATTATAAACCAATTTCATCTCTTGGTGATGATGGACCTATCGAGTTTCAAGTTCCTGGGACCGGCGATGACTACATAGATTTGTCTCATACATTACTCCACATAAAGGCAAAAGTATTAAATCAAGATTCAACTAACTTGGTATCTACTACAATAGTAGCACCTGTAAATAATTGGCTGCATTCACTTTTTAGTCAACTTGATGTTTATTTAAACCAAAAACTTGTATCACCACCTAATAATACCTAAGCATATCGAGCATACATGGAAACCCTTTTAAACTATGCCCCTGCTGCTAAACAATCTCATCTTACTTGTAGTCTTTGGTATGAGGATACAGCAGGAAAAATGGATTCTACAGATGGTAAAAACATAGGATTTGTTAAAAGACAGGAATTGATTAGTGAAAGTAAGGAAATAGAAATGATTGGTCATCTTCACGGTGACATTTTTAACCAAGATAAATTTTTAATTAATGGTGTTGAAATGAGTGTTAAATTGGTTCGATCAAGAGAGAGTTTTAATTTAATTGTTGGGTCGAACGATGTAAAGTTTAAAGTTTGCATTACGGACGCAACTCTTATTGTGCGACGAGCACGAATTAATCCAAGTGTATTACTCGCACATCAAAAAGTTTTAGCTTCCACCACTGCTAAATATCCTATTACTCGAGCTGAAGTAAAAGTTTTAACAATTCCTTCAGGTGTTCAAGGAAAAACTCTTGATAATATATTTTTAGGACAGGTACCGAAAAGATGTATAATTGGATTTGTGAACAATTCTGCATTTAATGGTTCCCTTACTAAAAATCCATTTAACTTTGAAAACTATGGTATTAATTCTTTCAGCTTATATATTGATGGTCAACAAATACCTTCAAAAGCTTTGCAACCATCTTTTAATAATAGCATATTTACATCAGCATATCATACTCTATTCTCGGGAACTGGTATTCACTTTCTTAATGAAGGAAATGGAATCTCTTGTGAACAGTATGGCAAAGGTTACTGTCTATTAGCATTTGACTTAACTCCTGATTTATCACCTAACTCATCAACTCATTGGAATCTCATAAAGCATGGTAGTGTAAGAATAGAAGTACGATTTGAATCCTCATTAATACAAACAATTAACTGTATAGTTTATGCTGAGTTTGATAATATTATTGAGATAGATAAAAACAGAAATGTTACTGTAGACTATAGTAGTTAAGGTTATAATATGTGTTGTGTGTTAGATTTTATGTGTTATGTGTAATGCATTTTGTGTGTATGTAACTATGTGAAACGTTATAAAATTAAATAAAACAAATTGTATGCAATATATTTTTTTTATTTCTTTATAAATCTTCTATTTAATCTAATACAAAACACTGTTCGAGTTGAAATTTTACATAAGCACACTGACTAAACCACTGAACATGCTGCTGCCAAGGATCATCATCATCTTCCCAATCTTTTAAACCACCACCACAATGGAAACACTTGGTCCCGTCTGCATGGCCAGTATAAAAGAAACCAGCTTCGGCAAGATCTTCAGGTTTCTGTCGCATAACTAGAGGCCAGTTTTCGAAACTAAGCAAACGGCTAGATTTTGAACTGAAGAATGGATATTCAGCTCTTGAGTACTGCATACTCTTCTCGTTTTCTTCTCCACTCAGTGTTGTAGTTTTGTTATTCAATGATGTGTTTTGTACACGTATGCCACACTCATCTCTTCCTTCCGCTCTTGTCTTCCTGTAATTGAAGTAAACAGAATCACATTCACTAATGATCAGCTAATGACTGTCATTGTTAAAAAAGTATTTTTTAACTTTTTCACTTTCTGCTATTGTCTTTGTTATATTGTATACGAGGGCGTTTGTATTGTCGTAGATGCTATCCTTATTAGTCTTTACGTAATATTTAATTCTCGTGGAAGCATGTTTCCAATGATCAGTAGTTGGAATCTTGGATAGCTTCTTCATATCGTACATTTCAATTTTGATGAGATGCGTCGCTTGGTCTCCGTCATCAGAATTAGTAGAAATGTATGATACACCATCTCTAGCGGCTCGTGCTACGGTTGATGATAACAGCTTCCTCTTTTTTATTTTTGATTCAGCTTCAAAAAAATGATCAATCGATTGCGATTTTCTTTTTCCACCATCGCATGTGTTATTATTAATGACGAGGTTATCACTCTCTTCTTGAGGGGAGAGTGGCGAGTAGTAATACTGTTTATAGGTATCTTCATCGAAGCTCAATGATTTCTGCAACAACACAGTTATCATGTTAATATCAATTTGTTAACACTTAATCATAAAAGTTAAAAAAGTTAAAGTTACAGCCTATTAAAGTCCACTGCTGAACATAGGCCTCCTCTCATTTCTGAGAGGGTTTTAGAGCAAGGAAATGTCCGCCGCGCTCCCTCAATGTGTGTTGGCGAACTTCACATGCCTTCGAAATTTTCTCAGACATGCAGGTTTCCTCACGATGTTTTCCTTCACCACCAAGCACGTGGTAATAAGCACTTAAAATTGCTATTAACAATTTAATTGGTGCTGGCGGGGATCGAACCCGGGTCGCGTACTGTGAAATTTACAGCTAGCGCTAACCATCTGAGTTACCACGGCTTAATCATATACATACACAATATTTAAATAAAATAATACACACACATGAAAATAACAGAAAAAAAGTAATTTAGTCAATAGAATAAACACTTACATCCATAGCCTTTGGTGTATTGAAGTAACACAAATGTACTATTGATAGATCCACTGTAGCCAAACGACCGTACACTAACTCGATGACTGCGTTTGTTGGTCTTATATACCACCAGTACGTAAAAATTCTAATCTAAAGTATTTCCGTAATGAGTTGATAATTACTTTATGCGTCAACCAGTTTATCTCACATTTCCGTTGCCTATCTCAACATTTCTTCGTATTGTGTTTTGTTTGGTGATCAATGACTCAAGTACGATTTGTATAACACAAAAATGCAATTTAATATTTAGAAACATATCAGTTTATCTCACATTTCCGTTGCCTATCTCAACATTTCTTCGTATTGTGTTTTGTTTGGTGATCAATGACTCAAGTACGATTTGTATATCACAAAAATGCAATTTAATATGTAGAAATCACTATAATTGACCATTCCTATGTTATTCATTGAGTAGCTAGGTACTGTAATAATCTACTAATAGCAGTAATATCATGGATACACTAGATGTACAACAACATCTGAAAAAGATTCACCCCAGTCTAGAAAATAATGTTTATGCAGCTAATAGACTGCCTATGTATACCCACGTACCAACGTATATAATATGTAATTTGGATACAGATGATAAACCAGGGTCACATTGGGTAGCTTTATATATCGATACGAATGACGTCGGTCAATATTTTGATTCATATGAACGATCACCTGTACGATATCATCTAGAGTTTTTAAAAAGGAATTGTAAAAGATGGAACTGGAATGTTGATAGGATTCAGAATGAGTGGACTTCAGTTTGTGGCGAATATTGCTTAATGTATTTACTATATAAGTTTCAAGGATGTTCAATACATAGTTTTACGAGTATATTTACAAGGAACACATTGTACAACGATATTTTAGTGGATGAGATGTTTCGCTCCTATTTTATAGATAATAATTAATAAGATTTTGTATTTTATAAATAAAAATTGTAACAAAGTTATGTAATGTGTTTTATTGATGATTCAGATTAGCGTTGTATAAACAAAGAATTATAATAAACAATAGCACTGATATAGTCGACGCACACGCTGCAATGAAGGTGATTAAGGAACAATAGAACAATAGAAATAGGAACAACAATGGGACGCTAATGACGGTGGAGGCCCTTACCGGATATCAATTAGATATTAGCTAATTGATCTACACATCTCCGGAACCGTGCATTCTACACAAAAATGGACCGCGGATTCGTGATCAGAGCATGCCAAAACCTTTTTTTTTTTTTTTTTTTTTTTTTTTTTAGGATCGGGCGTCGACGAACGTCGTTGAACCACGTCTGACTCAGGTGGTCTAGAAGTGGTACAACTACACTACTGAAACAGCAAGCAGCTGCAGCCGGCGGCGGCGTACATCAAAGACGGGGAGCGCGCGCGCGCGTCATACATACACTGACTGCACTAAGGTCGTGACCTCAGCACATTACTCAGCTATCATCACTTTAGTGGTCGATTATCAGAACTTTAAAAATTGTATTTCGACCAATTGTGGAAATTATACACAAACACTAATTTATCACTATGTCTACTTGACAACCACGAAGATATTGTTCAATATGTCCGCCTTGTACCTCTATGCATTTGCGACACCTGCTTAGAATGTCTGAACGCACGCGTTGCATAACAGAAATTTCGAACTTTATTTTTTCAAAGGATGCGACTATTCGTGTACGCATTTCCGCCTCGGTATCGCATGTTTTTTGGTATACAGACTGTTTAATCGTACCCCAGAGATAAAAATCTAAAGGTATGAGATCAGGTGATCGCGCCGGCCAGTTAACCGGTCCACCACGGCCAATCCATCTCGCACCGAATTCAGTATCCAAAAAATTTCTTACACAACGGGAGAAATGCGGTGGTGCGACATCGTGTTGAAACCACATGCGACGAACGAGGTCTAGATTTATTTCTTCAAGTTCATTGCTTAGTTCTTCTCGCAAAAAGCTTACTTAGTTTTCACCGCTCATTGTGTGGTCAAGAAAATACGGACCAATAATTTTGTCACCTATAATTCCCGCCCGAACATTGATTTTCCATCGGTGTTGAAAGTGGTTTGGTTTATAGGAATGCGGATTAGTAATCAACCATACGTGTTCATTATGAGCGTTAAATACGCCTGTTCTAACAAAAGAGCATTCATCCGTAAAAAGTACACGGTTCAAAAACTCACTATCTTCTTCAACAATATCGAGTAACCATCTACAGTAATCCATTCTCGGCTCGTAGTCGTTGGAAAGAAGACACTGAACTCGACGATAATGATACGGGTGCTGGCCATCATCTTTGAGGGCTCTCCAAACATAAATATGGTTCACACCTAGTTCACGTGCCACCGAGCGCGTGCTTCGCGTCGGATCTTCCCCAAACATGTCGAGAATGTGCTCCTCGATGTTGTCGTCGTACATTCTCGGTCTTCCTGAATCTGTACGTTGTTGATCACGGCCATGCACACTGCCAGTATTGTACATACGAATGTGAAGTCGTTGGAACGTCATCGCCGACGGCAATTGTATATTTCGTGGAGTAGCAAAGCGCTTCTCGTTAAGTCTTCGCGCTTCTACATAATTGCAGTCACATTTCCCGAGACACTGCTAAATACATTAAGTCCTCCGTCGGCTAACAGTTTTGTTTACCGCGCGAAACGCCGCTTATTTGATGGTAATTTTGTTTTGTTTATTACATTCTTGTAATTTGAATCTATTTAAAAAATAATTTCTGTACTAGTTCTACTTCTAGTTTCTACATATTCTTTATCGAATAAATTTTAATATGAAAACTACATACTAAACTTCTCCTACAAATAGTTGCAAATTTGGAAAATTAGGATATTTTATGCTTGAAATAACCTTTTTTAAATATTTTTTCCAGATCTATTTAGTAATAAAGTGCAAGTTTATGACATATGTAATACAAATAACAATGTGTATTGGCGTTGAAAGAATATCCACTAGCCCAAATCGTCCCTCGGGTGTGGCTCCATCTTCACAACATCTTCTTAACAACAACTAGATCTAAAGAAAAAAAAACTGCGGTTATTAACCCGCCTGCCAAAAGTGGAATTACTACGATAATTTGTTACCATCTTGTAGGTAGTGTCATAATAAAAAATAAACGATGCAGTAAAAATCTAGAGATATTGATCAAAAAATGCGACAAGTAGTTTTACTTGATATATTCAATACCAGAGACTTTTAAAGGAACATGGATTTAGTCATTCTATTTATAATGAAAAAAAAATATCATAAGCTTAAATATTAAAACCTCCAGAAAGCTTTGTTTTAAAGAACACAAGCAACAACAGAAAATAATAATTAAAACTTTTAAACCAGTTTTAAGTACTCAAGCAAATACTAGATTTTTAGGAATGTTAGTGTGTCTTGAAAGTCTCAAACAGATAACTAATCTTGTGATCTGGCGTTATCATGATGAAAGACCATTCCTTTTCTGATTATCAATGCCGGCC